AAGATGAGGAGGGCATTCAGACTTGAATCAAATATTACCTCAAGACCAGAAGAATGACTATCTTTGAAACCGGTATGTGGACTTCAAGGAGGTTTCCTCTCCTATAAGCAGATGAGTATAATGTACTCTTTTTAATTGAAGCAACATCAGCTTGGCTTTTATCATAGCAATATCTCAAGGTTCTTTGAAGAGATCTTTAGACATTAGGGAAGGATATTTTTTCTTTCTATTTTGTTTTCTTTTTTTACTCCTGTCCTTCACCCAAGCTGGTTATCAAGATGTCCTCCCCTTTCAATGAAGAATTAGATTGATAGGCAATATGTAGGAGTGAGTGCATGGAAGAAGTTGAGTGAGGTCTATAAATGAAATTTATATTTATTTTGTAAGAGGTCTGTAAATGCTGTATTTTAGGTGTTCCAGTGACCTTGGTTTGTGTGTATGGTTCTTGCTTTATTTTTGTTCACATTTTCTATGTCGAAAATGTCAGCAGTTGGGAAGCTTAGTATAGAAGAGGTGCTTTGATCAGTAAAAAGGTGGCATAACTGCCAGTTCTAATGCCTCACTGATTCTTTTACTCATGTTTGGGCCTTACTTGGGAAATGCACACCCAGTCAACTTTGTCATCTGTTGTCATTTTTCTGAATGGTACATGGAGAGATTTGCAGAGGTGAAAGGATTTTTGAACTGGCTTCAATCAGGTTCATTAGGCTGCACTCAAACTGCTGCTCTGACAATCATCTCCTAAGTCTAACTTGCATTCCAGAGCAGTTGATCTGGTTTTGTGCTTAAGGTGATAAGCAGACATGAAAGGTTCTGCATGGAACCAGGCTGCTTCAGCATGGCAGATGCTGAGGCAGAGCCAGTGAGCACAGCCAGACCCTGCTGGGTTCCTGCAGTGCTCCTCTGAAATCCATGTGCTGTGCTTCACCATGCCTCCTGTCCACCACAGGCACTTGAGCCTGACACTGCATTATCTGTCCCCTAACACAGGGCACTGGGGAGCTCTTTGCTGATGTCTTTGCAGGGATGAGTGGATGCAGCTCAGCTAGATCCCGACTTTAGCCATGATCTGTATTTTTATCACCCCCTTAACTTGTTCTTTCCCCTCCTGCCTATCTTCTGTGGGGGAGCTTCCAGTTGCAACTACAGCCTCTTTTGTTCTAAGCTTTTAGCAATTCAATTAAGTGTTTTTAGGTTTAATCCTCATGGTATATTCTTGTTACTTTGCTGATTAGGAAAGAAGAAAGTAATTCTTGTGTCTGTGTTGTTAGCAATTTGACTGCCAAAGAAGACTCTTAAAAATCATTCAGAAATGAAGAAACAAGGAATTTATTAACTCACTGAATCTTGCAAGTGTTCACTTGATGCTTATTGGTCAGGCACGTATAATAGTCCTGTTGTTGAGACAGACTGACAGCAGCTTCCATTGTTCTTACCTATGCATCAGTTTCAACACAGTGTTGAAAAGTTACATTAGTAATTCAGGTGAATTAGTGATAGTATTCTGTCCATTTCAAACAGGAGTGCACAAACAGGTCTTGTTGGTAGGGCAGAGTGAGAGCTAGAAGGCTCTGTTTGGCAGAGGATGACGAGTGAGTGCTGCAGTCCCAGAGGGCGGTTTTGGCACAGCAGGTGTAAATCAGCTGCGTTTTGTGTTCCTCAGAAATCCTCCTCTCCAGCCAGGTCCTTGCTATCTGTTGATTTCTCTTTTTGTTAATTTCTAGTGTGCAATGACTTCATTGCCCTGGTCCAAAATCATAGCATGAGGAACTTAATTTGGTTCTTATTTTTTTCATGCAGCAATCTAATACATTTTTTTTCTTAATAAGATTTGGTCAAATCTTAAAAGTAGACACACACTGTATTTCTCCTTCTGCATTAATTGTGCTGTTTGTTATCACTGTAGAGGAGGCTAAGGTTTTTTTAAAAGCCAGTTTAGATTGAGGTTTTAATGTTTGAGGATAGATCATACTGCATGCAAAATGCTATTTCTGAATGAGAAAAGCTGATTAAAGGTCTGCATTGCATCCAGCTCTCACTAGATATTGACACTGAAAATATTTTTGGGTTGAAAGGAAAGCTCAAACTATATAAATGTACAGTATATGATGTATTTTTGTGATGCTCTTTAACAATTTAGCTATGTTATGCTTTGGATATGAACATGGATGTTAGCAATGAAGTCTCTTAAATTGTCTGGGTGTTTTGAGAGATCCATGCATCTGTCTTCTTCTGTTTATAAAACTTATATTATTGCTCTGTAATGTGGGTAGCATATATTTTGGTATAAAAAAACCCAGCATATTTTATAGTTGTAGTTCGATTTTTATTGTCGTGATGCCTTTGTATCTATACAGCATTGAAAGAGGTATTCCTAAGACTGCCTGAGGAATTTTTGCCTTGCAAAAGCATCTTCCTGTGGGCATGCAGACCCCTAATGGCATAAGGGCTTTTCTCTTTTTTCAGTGTCTATCAGTGCAGCACTAATTGTAGCAGATCCACAGCAGTGCTGTTTATTGATACCACTGTCAGCATGCTAATGGAGACTTTGAACTCTCCAACTAGATCTTCCCTTTAAATCAGAAAATCCTCTTTTTTTTTTTTTTTTTTTTTTTTTTTCTTTTCGGCCCAGTTTTTTCACCCTAGGGGGAAGCATCTTCCTGTGGGCATGCAGAACCCTAATGGCATAAGGGCTTTTCTCTTTTTTCAGTGTCTATCAGTGCAGCACTAATTGTAGCAGATCCACAGCAGTGCTGTTTATTGATACCACTGTCAGCATGCTAATGGAGACTTTGAACTCTCCAACTAGGTCTTCCCTTTAAAGCAGAAAAATCCTCTTTTTTTTTTTTCCTTCAGTGCCAGATTTTTCAACCTAGGTAGGGAATTGTTTTCAAACAGAAGTGTAGGCATATCCCCTGAGATTGTGGCAAACCTGAAGGCCTTGTTTGCTCTTGTACTTTTAGGCTGCATAAACTGGCACCACTACTGAAAGTGATAGTCCCATCTAGTCCTTGTGTTCAAATAACACTTGTGTTAGTTGATGGCTTTGTGGGATTACAGTGAGCCAGATGAGAAAGATGGACCTTTTTTGCCCCCCCTTAGCAAGTTTTACTGAAATGAGAACTTTCCTCCATGTGCCTACTGGGAAGAGCAGCTCCGGTGTGGATCTGTTTGATCCACTGTCCTCAGTGGGATATGCATTTATGTGTTGTAGCAAATAACTTCTGCATCTTTGTGCAGGAGAATTCATTGGTAGACGTGTGTACAGTGTCAGCTGAAGACAATATTTCACATGCATTGTATTAAACAGACGTGTGTACAGTGTCATTTGAGTGTCAGCTTAAGACAATATTTCACATGCATTGTATTAAACACAATTTTACAGTAATCACCTTAACTTAATACTCACTTTGACAAAAACCAAGGAAGTGTTCTCTCTTCTTTCCCTTTTACCTCTTATTTTGTGGTACCTTTAATCATCTTTCTTTCCCTACCTGTACTTTCCTCCTTTTTCCAAGGAATATTTCCATCAGAAGTATGAACTTTTCAACTATTAAGGTGTTATTTCTTCAAAGTGCATTTTGCTTAAAGTTGTCACATGATAGATTTGCAAGGTTTGCTTGGGGAGTTTGAGTCTTCATACAGAAGCCTGAGTGAGTGGGATCAAAGCCAGTTACTTCACAGTAAAGTTTAGAAACTGTTAGGCTTCTCCTTTTTCATTCTTTTTGCTTTTAATTTGGGATAACAGATAAGAATAATTCATCTGCATATCTAAACAGCAAGTAATGCTATTAAGTACTCTCTTCCTCATATTTTTTGTGAAAAATGAGCATGGTGGCATAGACAGGAAGAGCTGAAGGAAGTTTATTAGAGCATAATTCAAGTTCTGTACTGAAGAGCACTGACAAACACTGGCAGCACTGTCCCTGTGTAGATAGGTAGAGGCATATTGCATTTCTCTACATCTCTTCATCCATGTCTGAAACAGGGACTCTAGGGGCATGGCTGTGTTAAAATCTGGAACATCTTTAAGACATGAAGCTTGATTTAGGATGGCAGTGTCCTGTTTGTATTGTGATATGTACAGTTTCAAAAACCATTCTTCCTTCTTGTAGGTGCAGGTTGAGCTTCTGTTTTATGTGCTATCACAGTACTTTCTCTTGAGCTTCATTTATACTGAAAGAAAAAGCTGAAATGGTTCTGTGGTTTAAGAAAGGCTGTGCCTTATATTATGGTTGCCCAGTAGTTATCATGTACTTAGTGCAAGCACCAAAGCCATTAGGTGTTGTGAGCTGCTGAGGATGAAAACAGGCCTTCAAGGAAGCATCCTTTCTACCCTTAAGCTGCATCTAATATTGCTGCTGCCTTTCTGCTGGAATATGTGGCAGTGCTGCATCTTCCTTGAACCCTGCTCTCAGATCACTGGTCATGATGCAGAATGGATTTGTATTTTCACTGTTGGGTGTAGGTGTTTGTCTATTGAATGATGCCAGAATTACTGCTGTAAGGGATAATACCACAGATAAGTTACTTTTTTCATCCCCTCATGTCCTTAAATTTCCTTCAAAGTAAAGTACAAAATGTGATAAATTAAGAGGAGTTGACATCTGTGGATTTAAATGTTTTTTTCTATCAATATTTGCTATTTTGTGCATGTATGTGTATATTTTTTCTTTTTTGATTTGCAGAGAGATTTGTCATTAAGAGTCCTGTTTCTGTAGATTGAAAGTAGCTTTAATCTGGCTTTGGTGGATGGTGACAAATATTTTAGTTTTATTGATTTTGATGTTCAGTACAAAATCTATATTGTTACTGCTTGTCTTCTACCTTTTGGGTCTGGGACAGTAGAAAACAATTCCTTACAGGTTTTTTTAGTGATTTTGCAAGAGTGTTATTTATTTGTATTATAATAAACGAGATGTAGCATTAATAGTTTAACCAGAAGGGGTTTATTGCTTATAATGTACTGCAATATTTACATGTTGCTTTATCTCTTGCAGATCTAGAAATGGCAATTGCATACTGGAATTTAGTCTTGTCAGGAAGGTTTAAATTTTTAGATCTCTGGAATAAATTTTTGTTGGTAAGTATATACTTTATTTCTTACTGCCTATCTTATTCCAGAGTAGTCTGGCTTTTTTTGGCTGTATGCTTCCAATAACAAAAAGATGGGATATCTCTATACTTCCTTCAGACCTTTTCCTTTTTGAAAACTGATATAAAATGCCCTCAAATCAAGCCAAATGAAATCTTCTCGTATGGCTTTCTAATTTAGAAGAATGCAAAGAGATGCAGCAAAGTTCTGCTTGCTTAATCCCATATCCTCCTACTTAAGAAAGTTCCTGCATGGAAGGAAGCCATGATTGTAGATGGAACTGGTGCTGCTGATTCTCAGTGACAAAATATCACAGCTGTGATTATTGTGAACCATGTATTTTTACCATGCTCTGCCTTTTGTAGTTCTAATGTATGAACTCAGTCTTTTTAAATCGGTCATACCAGAATTTAACATTAAAAGACTTTCCATTTTCAACACAATTTTTTGCCTCAGTAATTGCGTTGATTAATTTTTTAGCTAATAGTAGTGAACTGATCTTGACAGTTTGCTTATTACTAGTGCAATTCTGTGGGCAATGAAGTAGAGATGCATAAATTAAGCTTAGAAATTCAAAAATATTCTTGTAAAAAACCCGATTCACTCATCCATGTTTCTACATTTGCATGTCTATATAATTACAAAAAAATGAAGTTAGATAATATATAATTTATCTTGATTTTCTTCTTCATTTTATCTTTTTATCTGGAGTTTAGAGAAATAAAAGGTCTTTCTGCATTTTTGTCCCCCAGTGCTTAATAGGGAAGGTGTACACTTTCTGAAATATTTTTCTGTAGTTTTTTTCTAATTTTTTTGGCATTTTTGTATTTATTTGAATCACTGAATAATGTCCAGTTTCATCAAGAGGGCTTCTGGAAACATTTCATGTTGTAACTGCCTCAGTACCCTGGTACGACATCCAAATTCAGATCTACAGATGCAACTGAAGAAAAATCTGCAAGTTATGACCTGGTATTAAAGTGTGTTACTTTAGAAGAAACATTTAACCTGAACATTTAGTGGATAAGAAATACTTAAATTAAAAGATTTCAACCTAAGAGAGAAGCAAGCAGAAAGTCTTTCAGATGAATTTCTTTTTGTTATTGTTTATTTTAAGACAAAGAAGGTGAAGAAATGTTTGAAATATGTGTATTTTTGTATGTGTCAATGTAAAATACTGCTATGGAATTTGAAAGTAGTTTGGACTGAACAGTACTGTTATTCCTCTGTACAGGAACATCATAAAAGATCAATTCCAAAAGATACTTGGAATCTTTTGTTAGATTTTGGAAATATGATTGCAGATGATATGTCCAACTATGATGAAGAAGGTAAGCAGTACCTGAATATCTTCAAAACTTGGTACAGCAGAATTAAAATACTGCAATAAATGAACAAAAGAACGTGTTGTTACCTTGTGTCCTAATTTGTTTACCCTTAAAGTTTCAGCTGACAGTACAGTGTCATTGCCAAAATAGTAGTGATAAGAAGGTTAACTGGTTTGCTGTAATTTGAAAACGGGTAAAGATGCAGTCACACCATGATAGAGCACATTATTTGAATGTGTTATTCTACAGACTTCTGAGTGAAACAATGTTTTGTACAAAATTTTTGCTACCCTAAATGCAGTTTACTCTGTTACTAATTCTGTTTTGGAATGTGTGCAGAAATAAGTCCTAAGATATGAATGGCTATAATAAGAATGCCGTGGTTTTGCTATCAGCTAATGTTTATAGTTTTAGCGTGGAGTTCTGTGTTTTAAATATTTGGTTGTCTTAAGAACTATTGCTGAAAGAAGAGATTCAAATGTGAAATTTATTAGTTAGGTGTTTTTTTTCCAAGTATTTTATCATGTTGTGCCTGTTAAAGTTAGACAAGGCCAGAAATGTCAAGATGAGCTTCTAATCCTTTGTATTTGTAGACTACGCCAGTTTACTGCTGGTAATGGTTGGCTAATTTCTCAATTGCTTGATTTCTCTGTAGGAGCATGGCCTGTTCTAATAGATGATTTTGTGGAATATGCACGACCAGTAGTCACAGGAGGAAAACATAAAACTTCCTAACCCCAGATTTGTCGATCTGGACTAAATGAACTGCAGTGGGTAATGAAGATTTGTTAGCTGATAACTGCACGTTGGTGCTGGTTTCAGTGGTCATGATGACATTCTGCAGACAAAACTGCAATTCCTCCTTTCTGCCTAAAGAAAATGATGACGGACGTGTGGACACTTCAAGAACAAACTCAGAAGATCCAAGCTGTTTGTAGGCTATTGGCTTCAATTATTGTACTGGTTGTATCATATAGGATGTAGATTTTGCATGATTTTATACTTTGGAGAAGTTTAACTAGAGGCCATTTTATTAAAGTTTTGACAGCACAGCATGCCATTCAGTTCATAATCCAAAGTGAACACCAGCAGTTACATAAATAAAAATGTATTATATTGTACTTATATTAAAAGCAGTATTTGTGGTATATAAATTAAATCCATAAATAAAACTTATGCAGTATGTTGTATTTTTATAAAAGTTAGTTCTGTGGATCTGTCTTAATACAGAGTTGTAAAAAAACCCCAAACAAATGAAGGTATGCTTTTTTTTGTTTTTAACTTATTGCCAAAATGTTAAATTTGTATTTTTACATCCTAGGTGTATACAGTGATTACATCCAGCCTTTTGCTCTCTCCCAATGAATTTGACTTCCTCATTTTTCTTGTTGAAGTGCTTGGACATGTGACAATAGCATTGCTGAGGACAGGCTGCTGCTCTATGCTGTGTTGCGACTCCAGCTTTTTGTAGTAACCATTTTAAAGCAGACATTAAACAACCAAAGATGCTTTTATAATTCATGTTTAGTTATCATAATTCAGTTAGTCTCCAATATGTGTTTTATTTATTTTTAATAATTAACTGGTGGAATATGGATTTTATTTGTAGCTTGAAACATATCATACATTTTAGCTAAGTGTAACATAGTTGTAAATTCATTTCCTGGCACTTCTCACAGAAAATAGATGTGAGTAAGCCCAAAGACTTAACTACTTGGCTTCCATGGTGGAGAAATAATTAGGGGTAAGGAGACTTTATATTAATGATTACAAGTGTGCATGCCTGTGAATGTGTTGTGCATTCAATTACTTTTAAGGGGAATAAAAAGCAAATTAATGCAGTTTCTGTGATCTCAAGGCTGGTGAAATTGGACCAGTCTTACCAAATCTGGATTTGTTCAGTCACTTGTTTATCCCCTTTTGCCAGCCACCGATTATGAAGTGCACAGTGGTGTCAGTCTTCTGTTTCTCATCAGTGTCTTCTGATGTCTAAGCACAAAAGTTTTACCAGAAACTATTCAGTGTGTCTTCGCACAGGGCTCTTGCAAATGCTACCTCATCAAAATGAGTTTGTCATAGCCACTGTAAAATTTTGTTAAAATGAAGAGTTGCTAGAGAGTATGTACAGCTATGATCAATATATTTTCTGTATTTAAGGCTGAATAGATGCAAGAATTTTGGATAAAATAGTGCATTAAGTTATATAATTTATATATCTGTTTGGCTTGGTCAGTGTTGCATGACAGCAGAGTCTTTTATTTTGTAGTTTCTAGGGTATAAAAGCTTACAATTCTCTTAAACTCTAAATATTAGAGTTTCATACAAGCATTATGTTAACACAACCTGCAAGTGTACATGCTGCATACAGAGACTGCCTTTGTTCTTCCACTTGCTAGAACTTCGGTTGTGCATGGCATTTAAAAAGCAAGACGAGGGAAAATTGGTACAAATTAGTGATTTTTCTCTTAGTAAGAGCCTAGCAAGCAAGTTACAAGTGCCCTGTGAGTGATTTGTTATGAATATTTGTCTTTTTTTGTGAGTGTCACCCCGGCCAAACAGCCGCCAGGTGTCAGCGTCTGAGCCCGCTGCTGCCTGGTGCTCCTGTGCAGTTACCCACGGGGGTTCTGCCAAATTGCTGCTTTCTGACTGCACCTTTTTAGAAGGGCATTTGTGTAACTCCAAGTATTCTACAGAAGTCAGCAGAGAGCTAGAAGTAGTTATGCTCTTTTTACTGTGTTTGATTTATCTATGCCTCCTCCCCAAAACCAGCCATTTCTATATCTGTCCCACAGGCTTTGCAGAATGTGTAACATCCTGCAGCATCAAGTGCATTTATCTAGCCAGAAGCAATGGAATGCTTGTTACTGACACAGTTGCCATTTAAAATACATAGATAAAATCTAACTGACCATAAGTAGCTTAATCTACTGGTATGTGATGTAACTGAAGCTTTATAGCACTAGAGCTTGTGAAACATTTGCTCATGATGAGAGCTCCATCAAATCATTCTGATGAACCTTCTACCTTTTAGAATAAATAGAGCATAAAAAATGCATGTGGGATGAGGGTTTTTTTCCTTGTTAATCAGAGCAAGAAGGAAGGGGTGCTTAGCCCAGGATTCAGTGTGTGTGTGCACATACACACACATGTATTTACTCTTACATCTCATTCCTGGGGCGATCCTTCATGGGTGACAGTGGAAGACTAGGCAAAATACTCCAGAGATAGTAGTTGATCCTCGTGAGCCAGCTTTTGAGGTTTGCTATGCTTTTTCTTTTCTTCTTCCTTGTCTTCTACCCATTTTAAACCACATGTGATTTTTACATTCCCATATGAAGTAACACCTTCACACTTAAACTGTCATAAAAATGCAAATAAACTGCTTTCACCTTAAAAGTTTTCTTACGTATTTTAAAAATTTGCTGCTGTCCACAGTTTCACTTTACAGCGTACTCTGACTTCCATTTTAAGTAAGCTGATACAGTGGTAACACCTAGGCTGCTCAATTTATAATCCTAAATGGTACAGATGTCTTCAAGTTGTTCAGTGCATACAGTATTACTTCACAGATATGCTGTATGTATTTTTAAACTTGGTGCCAAGTTGTTTGGTTTGAAACGGAGCCATAGGATTTGTACTTGCCAATTCTAAATTTAAATGTAATTTATCATGTGTGTCATGCCAAGGAGAGCAAACCTGCAGGCATCTGCTCGTTCAATGCACCTGGGAGATTTGCTGCTGAGTAAGCTGTACTTGTGTGTATATTTTTTGGCACTGGAAAAAGGAATAAATGGACTGTCAAAGGATTGAAGTCAGTCATGTGAGATGTCTGTATGGTTCTTGTCAGTTTACTGCTTTGGAAATCTTGGTCTAGTGGGAATTTCTTGTTGTTATTTTCTGGTTTGTTTATTAGGTTCTTGTGTTACTACTCCACCAGCCAGAAGAGGGTAAGGATGTAACTCATTAATTTTTAAATGCCCTTAATAAATGTTTGGTTTGGTCATCTGTGTCACCGTTAAGCTTTTAAGAGGCTTGACATGTTTAGCTGCAGTACTGTGTTCACTGCATGTATCTGCTGGTCACCAGACTCTCACAATGTGTCATTCATTTGTGCTGGCAATGGGAGCTGTAATTGCAGGAAAGTGTTGCTCAGTCCTGGCTCTGAGCTCTGTTGGAGAAGCAGCATGCTCAGAAATCTGTAAAGACCTTCAGAGTTATGCATTCACCTATTGTTAATTCTCTTCTGAAAGTTTAAGTCAAAATAAATAAGTTGTCCTCTATCTTCACCCAGCTGCCATCCTTCTCCAGTGCTTTCACCAACCATGGGCTCCTTTGGTGTTGCACAAGTCTGGTCTTCCATTTCCTGTAGACAGTGATACTTGAACCATGGCAGCCTGTTTTCCTTACAGTGTCAGCACCAGTAACTTCCCTCAGCTGATGCCAGCCAGCATCTCGCTCACCAAAAGGCACAGCCCTTCTGGAAGAGAAAAAGTGTCATGCTTTTACAACCACAAACCTGTTCAGCAAAACATGTTTTCTGAACTTTTTGTTATCTGCATTGTGCTGGGTAGAAATGGGTGACAAAATTAACTTTTTTCTTCTAAACTGTTGACAGAGGGATCTGCAGCTGCCTCTACAACCACATGCAGAAAATACTGTATTTCAGACAAGTGGATGCAATGTTCACCTCTTAATGAGAAGGGCTGGGGAAATTCAGGGGCATTCACATTTTAATTAAGTATTGGGATACTTCCTCTTGTTGGTGCACATATTTGACCAATTCCCATGGGGGGGGTTTTGTGGCTCCTTTTCCCAACAGTTAACTACTCTACTGTTTGGCAAACCCTATAGGTTTCATGTTATGACCTCAGCTTTCTGTCAAGACAGTAAAGAACTCCATCCTGTGGTGTTAAAGGATCTTTTTCCTTCAAGGCAATGGTGTAAAGCTGTATGGAAATAATTCATCTCCATTCTTAAAGAATTAAGTAAAACCAGTTTATTTTTTTCCTGGATCTCAATGAATGTGTTTTAAAGGAATGATCCTGATGCTCAAGTAAAATCCTGCACTTCAAGAGCTGTAAAAATGCAGCTCTGACAGAAATCTGGCACCCACCTGGTATCAACCTTACTTTTCCAAGATATGGCTCCGCGTCCTTTGGATGGGTGAACTTGGAATCAAGAGCATTTCTCTGCCAAGTGTCTTTGAATGGCAAAGGATCACTCACTCACTCATGGTGGAAGCATTTGGGGTGCAGTCTTCTTTTAACTTAAAAAGTATTTGTGTGGACACAGAGTCAGTCCAGCGTTTACCAGTTCCTTGATTCAGAGCAGAGCTCAGCACCCATAGGGTGCTCGGGCTCTGTCCTGGGCCTGGAGCCCATCCATGTACTTCCCTCTGCTGGAGAAGGTGGAGGAGCCACGTTTGCCAAAGGCTGCTTTCATGTTCTCACCTCGGGTTTCAAATGCAGTTGAGCTGAAACAACACTGTGTTGCCACCAACACAGACAAGTCTTTTCTCTGTCCTGCCTTCCCATTCTTTTTTTTATGGATTCTCCCCATCTGAAAGCTCTTGTATGTACACTAATGAAAAGACACCAAAGATACATTTTAATATGATTTACCAAATAGTTTTGCCAGCTCTGCTCAGGTCTTCTTTGCTTTTTTTCCTTTTGTGAATAGTTACCCATCTTCATGGAATTACTGTGTTTTACCTCTGTTTAAGACTTGTAGGTATATTTTACAAACAATTGTCTTTGTGGGGAGTAGGGTTAGTTTAGTGTGACTAGTCTACCTCTGCTCAGAAAGCTCACAGTAACTGGAAGTATCATATGAAAAGGAGATCATGTGTAATTTAAAAATATATATAAATGTCTTTGCTGCATGTTCTGTTTTACAGAGTTGAAAAACAGAACTTCTCTGAAATTTTCTCTGGGTTTTTATTATAGCCTTATACCTAATTTGGGCTGTTTTCTGAGCAGCTGAGTGTGTTGTGTTGCAACAGAGTGAAGTCTATGGGAGGCAAAAGGGCAGTGCAACTGCCAGCCACATTCGGAAGAAAAAGATAAATGGAAAACTAAGAATAGCTTTGCCCATTTTCAGGGAGGAACCTTCCATCTGATGAGGCTCTTACTAGCTCATCACAGTGCCTCAGCAGGTGATTCCTCCTGTCCTTGCTTTGCAAGTTCAAATGCCCACGTGCCTCCAAACCGTGATGCTATGCAGGAATAGAGAACAGGTGTGTGCCACAGAGGGGTGGATGGACCTGTAACAGAGATGTCAACGTCAGTGCTTCTGCCTGGTGTGTTCTGTAAGCTGTCCTGGCCTTGGTTTTCCACTTTTAGTGTTTGTTTTCAGGCACATGGAACATGAGGTAACCTGCAGTGCAGGGGTGACTCTAAGATTACCTCTGTGTTGCGTAAATGTCCTGGTTGTGGGACATGATGCTTGTTCCCCCTGCCCCACACAGGGCTGGCATCCGTCACTTGTGGCAAGCCAGCCCTAAAGCAGGCTGGCCATGCCCCACTGACACTTGTCCCTGTATATCCTTTGGTCCCTAAGGCATAATTGTCCTCTTTTTCTCCCCCCCCTCCCCTTTTTTTTTTTGGCTTTTTCAGTGTGGCAATGTTACTTTCTAGCAATAAAAAACACTCTCAGTGTCCTTTTCAGCACTTCTGTTAACCAATCCCAATCTTTAAAACAAGAGTGCACTAACAGAAGCTACTTTCACCATTTGGGCACATTATTTCTTCTAATGTAGAGCAGGCATGGCAATGCTTCTGTATGTCCTGAAAATCCATTAAGTACAGAGATATTTCTACATAGGTCAATAACTCAGACCATGATTAATTTAT